TACTTTAGTATAATTCTTTTGTAAACAAAAAGAACTACGTAACTAATTTCTATACTAAACATCAAAATTCCGATGTATTTGCTTTAGTAGAATTTTTTTGTAAACAAAAAGAACTACGTAACTAATTTCTATACTAAACATCAAAATCCCGATGTCTTTGCTTATTTTTAAATCTTACAATAGAAAATTAAAAGAAGTTGGTATATACCATTACCAATTTGTACCAACCAAACATGTTGGAAACCAAATAAATTGGTACCAAGTATACTTGGTACGGTATCGGTAGAATTTTTTTTATACCAATTAGAGTTGGTACGGTACACGGTTTAGAGAAAAATGAATTGGTACCGTACCAATTCCACCCCTATCTAATACACCATAGTCAATTTCTATTGCTAATAGTCATGAACATATAACTCTCATACTACAATTGAGCTATGGTGTTTTTTACAATAATGTATCAAATGATAGTTGAACCTCAACCACTTAGGGCATTTAATGACATATTTCCAACTCTTGATACCGATCTGCTATAAACTTTTTGGTGATGTTACTTTCTTAAGCCCCTTGCCCCTATTTATAAGTTATGGAATTCAAAACATTTCATATTTGAACGAAAAGGATTATCCAGTTAAATTAGTAATTTAATTCTTTGCAATTATCTTCTAGAATTAGCCATTAATCGTCCTTAGATAACTAATATAGATCTTTTAGTTTAATTTATTAAATCCCAATAATTAATTTCTAGTTATTTATTAACTCTTTAAGAAACAAAAAATTAGTTAATTAATTTCTAATTATTTATTGACACTTCAATAAATAATAAATTAATTACCTAATTAATCTCTCTCATTTATTGTTCTTGCTACACAATCTTGACCCGAGTGTATAACACGTACAAACTCATGCAACTATTATGTCACTAAAATGTTGTAACAGTGGTCATATCTCCAACACATGGTTTAAATTCATAGGACATCTTTGAATCGGTCTCTTATGTTTATTAATAATAAACTTGGGTTTATTCTTCATGACACTCAGGTGACATCATTTGTATGAGTGAAATGAAATTTTCCAACTTTTTAGGGAATTGTTGGAAATTTAATTATTTATATCAAGTTAGCAATTTTCCATTATACCTCATTGGTAGGAGAAATGAACTTTTTGTGAGTTTATAAGATTAAGGAGTGTCCAAGCTCATATGTGCCCCTTCAAAGGCTTTGGTTAAGGTTAAGGGATTGGCCAAGCCCATATGTGCGCCGATTCGAGCCGAGGAATGAGATGCAAGGTTCATAAAATGGCACGATTTAGGCACACATTGCACTTTGTATGTTGTTGGGAGCTGAGGAGGTTTTATTTGTAGCAGTTTTTGGTGGGGTTGGATTGGACTAACCCGATCAACATGTTCACCATGCGTTGACTTTGTGGATGAACAAAAGAAATCTTCTAGAAGTCCCCAAAAACTTGATAAGCTCTATGTTTAGAATCATATTAGATTCCAGATGATGTCACCAAATCTTATAATTTATCATTTATTCGAATTGGCACGTGACAGCCAATGGGAGGTCAAACATTGTCATCAGATTCGATTTTGTTGATAGGGTTTTCAAATTAGTATAAATAGGATCTCTCGGGCTCATTTATTCCACACCCTCAAAACGAGATCCCTCTCCGTTCTCCTTTTTTCCTCTGTGACACAACTTTTCTTCAAATTTTCGAGTATTCGCTTTGCATGTATCGGGTCATTCATTTGGTGAGCTTTATCTATGTGTAGTTTAATATGAATCCAGATCTAGACTTCCAAGTTTTTTTTTCATGACTATTAGCAATTTTGTTTTACAAACGTAGTTTAATATGAATCTAGATCTAGACTTCAAGTTCTTGTGCTTAAAACCCAAAGTTACCATCTGTTTTGTATTATCCTTGAATTATAATTTAATACAGCTCCGACATTAATCGTCTCGAACTATATTTTAAGCATAGTGAACAAACACGATCCAAATAGATATCTAGGTTTTATTTAAATTATCAACGTCCTCTTTTGCAGCCCCCAATTTCTAACATATTTAACCAAATTTTGATAATTTCTTACAATGACAGGATCAAACCTAATACTTATGGAATTCTGGTATTGTCACATATAGATCAAAGGAAATGGTAAAACCGAACAACCTAACAAATTTTCGGTGCAAAATTTCTAATGAATTACTTTAATTACATTTCCTTTTTGCAATGCCAAAAATATAATAACAAAGAAAGACGTTATTGGTACCAATTTTTTGTGAACCAATTGAGATATCAACTTGTCATGATCAATGCACAACTGCCCATTTCTTAATATGCATACTTGCTCTCTGTGCCTGCCAGATTTCAACACAAAGTTACGTTTAAAATAAGATTTCTTATAATTGTACCGAGTTAATTTGAACAAAAATTCTCCGGTGGGATGTAAATTACCTCCTTTTCCCAATCACAACGGCTTGTAATAATAGCCAATACAACCGTTTGAAACGCGGTTCCTCCGAAAATCATTCCAGCCCAAATACCCTAAAATCACATGTACAAATGTTGGATTTTGCACAAAAAAAAATAAAAAAGCAAATAAGGGCCCGTTCGTCACAAATGACATGACATGAAGACATATTGTACATTATACTCTCAATGAAACTAATATCAACAGGACAAAAGGACCGATCCTCTTTAGAAAATGACCCTATATAATTAAGCCTATCTAGTCATGTCATGTCACATCTAGGCGAGTCCAATCAATTTCAGCCACTTGTAAGAGAAGAACTTGTACCATGACACCGAGATGGAAAAGCCATCCCATGGCAAGTCCCATCGGGACTCCTATCAAATAGTAGCAACCTAAGTTAATGTACGCTACATATGACTGCCATCCAGAACCAACAGCAACACCTATCAGATTGCACGGTTTGTGCGTTAGTGATTGTAGAGCTTTGAAAAGCCGAGAGAATATTGATATAACTAATATGAGGAGGTGTTTACCTGAAAGAACGGGTTGAATACTGTTGAGAAGAATGGTAAAGGCCAAGAGAAGTGAAAGCTTGCTTACAGCATGCAAGACCGGTTCACTGTTGGTGAATATTAACGCTAGCTCGTTGTGGAATAACATGATCAAGAGCCAAAAGAAGAGGCCTATCACTGCAGATGTGGTAACTGCAACTATGGTAGCGAATCTAGCACCTTTCCCGTTTCCTGCTCCTAACTCGTTTGCAACCCTAACTCTGTTCAATTACATGTAATTAAATACATTTTCAGACATGGCAAAATGCCAAAATGAATGTAAATGTTAACAAACATACCCCGTTCCAGCAAAGAATCCAAGAGGGATCATGAGTTCGAAGCCATTAATAGACATGCTACACAATAAAAACATATAAACATTTATTAATTTTGACTGATCTTTAATTTAAACTTATGTATTGCCTAAAAAATTACAAACTATATATGATACATACATACCTTTTAAAATTATATATATATATATATATATATATCATGGGTCCACATAAAAACAGTCCGAATATGGTATATGTCAAGTAGGATTTTTCATCGTCCACGTTACTAATTAATATGTTCTATTTTTTCCTAAAAAAACTCTTTACACATAAAAAATAATTAGAAAAAAACAAAAAACGTGATGTAATCACTGACCAAAACCACGATAATTGTAATATGTGGACATACAAGAAAGACAGTATAGGTCACAAAAGGCTAAAAAACAAGATATAAAGAAATCATATATACAAAATATAATGATTAGCAAAAACAAAACGACCACACAAATAAAGAAATTTAGACCACGACAATTATTAATTTATTACCATATAGATAAAGCATCCACAGCAATTTTTGCGTTTTCAAGGTTCCCAGTCATCACGATCAGTATCCTGTAGTACCAGTTCTCCAAACTGCAATTTTCGAAAAAAGACATTCGTGTTAAATAAATGAAGCTTCATGAGTCTTGTCGTACGAAGGTACTAGATTCTTTTCGAATCTTTTGATACGCCGCAAGTAAGATACGATAGTTACAGAATGTCAATCCAAGCACCGGAAACTGAGATAATTACCACAACATGACGCCGGAGGCGGCGGAGAGTTTGACAAATGACCACAGTCCAGTAAAGGCTTCCATGGAAAACCCACCCCAGGTCTCCGGGCAACCACCGAATACCGAGAAACAGAACAACCCTATAACGATCAACCACCATGAGAAGTTCAGAGTCACCACCGTTCCAACCAGTCCCAGCTGAAGTCTGTACACAACCAGCCAACTCATCACCGAATGAACCACCAGCGCCCCGAGTGACACCCACGCAATCACGTACGTCTTAAGCTGGCTCTGAAGAAATCTTTGTAATGGGAACTGAAAGCAAAGGCTGAAATGGAGTGGTATCAAACTCATAGACACCTTACCGGAGAGCTCCGATATGTCTGCCGGTTGTCCGAGCAGTTTCAGCACCGGTGAAGCGAAGATGTACAACGGTAGAAGTAGAATACAACATAAGAAGAGTACAATCCATGAGCGTTGTAGATACACTCCTAACATTCGATAGTTTTTCGCTCCATATGCTTGTCCACATAACGTCTCTAAAGCACTCGCCATCCCCAACTAAATCCCAAAGGAAAATGTTTAGAATCTCAGAGAAATCAACAGAAATCAAAATTTCAAAAAGAGTAAAGATATTACCAAAAGACCGAAGTCGAAGCCGACGATGACACTGGTGGCAATGGAGATGGCGGCGAGCTCAAGATCGCCAAGATGACCGGCGAAGGCTTGGGTGATGACAAACATGGAGTAGGAGGCTATGCGGCTGAAGATGGCGGGGCCGACTATGTGCCACAGCTTCTTGGATTCAATCAAGAACCGGTGTCGAAATGAGAGATCGAAGTCTTGCTGGTCTGAAGTTTTTGAAACCAAATCGACGTTTGAAGATGTATGATCCAACAAGGGTACAAGTGTTGGCTCCTCGACTCGACTACCAGTGCCTTTGATGTCCGCCATTTTTCTCGATTATCCTCCCTTTTTCTCTAATTTATTACTTGAATTCCTCTGTCACATGTGAGAGAGAGAGAGAGAGATTTGGTGTATATAGAAGACTTCATGTGGTGGACTATCATATTTTCTTTTTATGAGAGTGTAGACGTGCTCAACTTTTGTACGTAGTAACCTACACTAGACAATATAATATTATACTAGTCCGGGTTTATATATATATATTAGGCAAAGGCCGTGCGTTGCGGTGAAGCATCTGCATAGCTAAATTTTTTATAAATATATGTTTTTTTAAATATAACAATAATGTTATAAATTTTGATATAATAATTTGTATATTAAGTTGATATAATATATTAATTATTTTGAATTATATGATAATATATACATCTATTAAAACTGCATAATCTCAATCTTTTGAATGACCTCTACTCGATGGTTACTTACTAATAAAATTAAATATAATATATGGTTTAATGTTATTTATAGTTATTATTGTTAATTATTTTTTTTTAAATTTATTTGTTTGAGGTTTTAATTTTTATCATTGTAATTATTTAAAACATCAAACAAATTTTTTTTATTTTAAAGTTAACAATATAATCATTTATATAGAGTTATTTTTAACTATTGTTATTGTAAGTTATTTTAAACAGATTATTTGAAAACTTTTTTAACGATTATAAAAATATTTTTAAAAAATATTTTAGTTAAATTGATATTACAATTTAGTTTTTACATTTAACACTACAATTTATCATTTTTAACTATTCACAAAATATTCTTTGGGTTTTTAAGTGGAACTGAAATTTATATTGAAGTTAACCTTGTAATGTTATATTTAAATTAACAATTTAAGTATTTTGTTCAAACGGTTTAAATGTTGTAGCTTCAAACTGATAATGGTTTACATACAACAACATATTAAATCTAATAAATTAAATATAATATGTTAAAAGTTAA